GACCCTCTTGCTTTACTCCCCTTATTGCCTTCATTCTTGGAAGACCTTGATTCTCTTCTAAAATTAACGAGATTATTTTTAGAATGTTGAATACCATTCTTCTTTACATAGCAATTGTATCGCTTCACGAACAACCCCATATCCTCATTCATTTCTTCATCATCGTTATCACTCGAGTCGTATTCACTTAGCTCTTTTGCAGAAGACTTTGAACAAGAAGCTTTTAGAGCTATAGACTTCTTTTCTGTAGTTTTGATCCGTTCATTCTTTTCCTTTTTCTCAAATTGCTCGAGACTAAGAAGCACTTGCTCATGTTCTTGGAGCTTTCCAAAAAGAGTTGTAAGGTCCAAAGTCATAAGATCATTTGCTTCCTTTATGGCTGTGACCTTTGGTTGCCACTCCCTGGTAAGACATCTTAAGATTTTGTTAGTAGCAACATCATTGGAAATTGGTCTACCAAGTGAATTTAGTCTATTGATTAAATGAGAAAATCTCTTTTACATGTCGGCAATGGTTTTCCCTTGCTTCATGTGAAGAAGATCAAACTCTTGAGTTAAAGTGTTGATTCTAGCTAGTTTGACATCATTAGTTCCCTCATGGGCAACTTGCAATGAGTCCCACATAGCTTTAGCAGTCATACAATGTGAAACTCTATAGTATTCATCAACTCCCAAGGAGGAGATCAAAATATTTCTAGCCTTCCAATCATAATTGTACTTTTTCTCATCTTCATCATTCCATTGTGCTTCAGGCTTAGGCACAAAAACATTATTTTCATCGGTCATGGTAATTTCCATAAGACCATTCAATATAAAGTTTCATACCTTTCTGTTAATGGAATTTATATGCATGCACATACAATCTTTCCAGTAACAATAGTTCTCACCATTGAAAACAGGTGCTCTATTGTAAGCCCCTTTTGGTTCGTTTGCCATATTCTAAGAAGTTATATGCGAAGCACGCAATAAACCGGTGCTCTTGATACCATTTGTTAGACGACGACAATGATCTAGAAGGGGGGTTGAATAAATCACTTATTAAAAATAAAGTTGACACTTATTAAGATTTAGATTTTAAAAAGTTTTAAGCGGAAGCGGTCGAGGAACTATACTCGTCTAAAAGAACTGTTACTGAAAAGATCGGATATACACAAAGCCTATATGGAATACTGATAAAGACGAGAATTAGAATCAATAGTTTAAACACAAATCAATCAGATTTTGTTCACTTAAAGCTGGACAGTTTCCAATGTGTGTGAAATATAAACCAATTGAAAAACAACTCAAGTATTTGTGTTCACACAATTAGTCAAACACTTGGTGTGCGAAGCACCTCAAGTAAATTTCAATAGGTGAATGAAGTGCTATGTTCTTTAATTATAATCAAAAGATTGTAATGAGGTTTCTAAAAATATTCAGCACTAACACACACTAGAATTTTAATCAACTAATATGTTTGCACACAAACTCAAAATCAGCAATGAAAATAGTAAAAAGAGAGAACACCAATTTGTTGAGGCAGTTCCCCCGCCGTCCTCGCTCGGGGTACGTCTGCCGTCAATTCTAAAAATAGAATTGAGACATGTATATATAACCAATTGCAATTTTTTTTTACAAGAGAAGCAATAGAATTTAAACAATCAAACCCAAATGTTTATACCGAGCCTATGCCTTCTCTTCCCTTGAATCAAGATGAATCAAGTCCTTCGAACGTGATGAGTAAACCTCCGATTACGACACCATCTTTAAACAACCCTCAGGTCTTCAAATTTTTCCCGGCTAATTTCAAACACCAATTATTCGAACCCAAACCTTCTTACCACAATCCTCTAGTTAACGCTACTAAACTGAAAGAACCTCTTGTTCTTTAATTACCTTCTCTCGGCTGAATCTGTGAAGGAACGATTTGTGAAAAACCCCCCAAAATCCAAGATTCTTGGAGGACAAAACCCTCAAAATTTTATTCAAGAAAAACCCACTGATTTCTCAATCCAAACCCGATACATCAATCCTAAGTTTGGACGTTATCACCTCGACGATACAGAATACACAACAAAAATGATTATGTGTAGTTGTTGAGAAAATGCAAGAAAGAGGATGAAGATGATGAGAACCAAATCAATGTATATTTTCACTTTTCTTGTTCCATTGTGAAGAATGAACTAACTCAATATATATGCAAAGTTGAAACCAAATAAGCATAACAGTCACTTAGAATGTTAAGCATAACAGAAATTCTGTGAGAAACGTGTGGGCGATCGTCTTAAACCAAGGGGAGGGTCGACTTGAGCTCTCCCAAATTCAAGATTATGCAGGAAACAACTCTTTGCGTCGACTGGAACAGGTCCATGCGTCGACGCAAAGCACCCCAATTTTAACAACCACAAATGCACACAGTATAAGTCGACTAGAGGGTCGACGCGAGCTCTCCTGAGAGTAAGACATGAAAATTGACTTCTGTATGAGTCGACCTAAGCATGCTATGAGTCGACTCAAAGACTCAGAACTTGCAAAAATGCATATTTTCATATATTTAGCTACTTCTAAGAGAATCTAATGCATCTCTAACTCAACCAACATGATCAAACTCATATAGAACACACATAGTGCTCTTTTTATATATATATCTAGACATGTTTTGAAAAATGTTTGACACAAGAAAGATAACGTACACATATGCGACTCAATGATACCGTCCAAAGTACATTTTTTGAACTATATATGTTTTGACATCATTAAAACAAGTATAACCAAGTATGAGACACTTTGCCCTCACATTTGTGTGTTGATTGGTGGTTTTTTTTATAGTTTTTTTTCACATGTTTTTGATAAATATGCAAGTAAAAAGTCCAAACATATATTTTTATCGTTTTTCATTGATAAATTAGGGGGTTTTATATTTGATTAATTGTAAATTAAGTTAATAAGTACCTACGTATTTTACGTAATTTTGGAACTTATCAATGATGCTCTCTTAACCCAATCATTGATTCGAAAGATAAAAATATTTCTGTTAAGTTTCAGAAAAATTCAAGGAAGAAGGAGATCATTGAGAAACTCAACGAATTGATTCAACTGTTAAAAGATGAAGGAATAAACTTGGAAGGATCGTTTTCAACCTCATCATCATCATCAGAAGAAATAATTGACGGATTAACACCAGACATGTCTTTCAAAAGAATTATCACAATAAATGAATAATCGTATGAAGAATCATCATCCGATGAAAAAGGTGAAGAAGTTTCATCCAGCTGAATGTGTCAAGAAGTCTCAACCAGTAGAATATTTGAGGAAGCTTCATCAAGAATAATCTTTGAAATATCAACATCTAGAACACGTGGAGATTTAGCCTCAAGAGACTCGTACAAAAATATCTTTGACGATATCCTTAACAATATGTCAGAAAACTCTTATAAAATATCCTCATAAAGAAGTGAATCTAATGAAGAGGATCACATGCGCTTCAAGGGTCACAAGAGAAGGCGATGACACCGAGGTAACAAATCTAACTTGTAAATAAATGTTTAAGTTAAATGTTAAACTCAATAAAGATAATGAGAAGTTAGAAAAGACCATTGTTGATTTTAAAGAGTATATTTAATTTCTAAAAAATAGAAATAAAATTTTTGGTGGAAAAATATGAAACCTGCAAATATTTAAAGAATGAGGTAACTAGATTGCATGAAAGCTTAGAAAATTTTACTAAGGTAAAGGTAAGTCATTTTTTAAAGTCTATTATATATATATATATATATATATATATATATATATATATATATATATATATATATATATATATATATATATATATATATATATATATATATATATATATATATATATATATATATATATATATATATATATATATATATATATATATATATATATATATATATATATATATATATATATATATATATATATATATATATATATATATATATATATATATATATATATATATATATATATATATATATATATATTTGTATATTTTAAATTAGTATTCTTTTAAAAAGAAAGTATTGAAATAAAATAAAAGTTTTTAGAGTGGAATTTAACTTTTTCTCATAAATTTAGTAATTCAAAAATTAATTAATTTACATGATGCTAATTTTATTTGGATAAGTAGAAATATTTTGCTCACTTGAGAATAGAAATTTTCAATTAAAACCGTTAAATTAAAATAAAATATAAAGTTAAATTTATATTAAATATATAAACATATTTTTAAAAATAATATAATTTTTCTCATATATAATCGAGTTGACTCATGAACTTAACGAGTCGAATTCTGTATAGTTCAAGTTCAACTCATTTAGTTAACGAACTTAGTTTTTCGCTCATATTTAACTCATCGGATTCATGAATAAAATTCAACGAATTAATTGTCGAATCGAATTCCAAACTATTTTTAAATTAATTCGGTTTATTATCAGCTCGATATTTATATGTTTTGGCTAGTAGAAAACATATATCATAGAAGAACTATTAAATTGTCAAGTTTCAAGTGTCTTTTCTTATGACCTTAAGTGGACTTGAGAAAGATTTGACAATCACATGTTTGATTGTTTTGAATTAAGTTATCCTTCATTTGGCTATATGGAATTTGACTAAACCTTCATTCGGATGCATGCTGTTTTTCGGCTATAACTTTAAAAAAAAAATTTGTAAACAAGTAGAACTTATTTACCATAACATATAATTATGAGAAGACAATTTTTTGGGTACAAACCTTACAACAAAGTCTACCAATTACATCCATAACTTATCAATAAAAACTCTTTGAATTTGCTTCTGTTCTTAAAGACATATCTCTGTCTCAACCCTTCTACTCACTCAGTCACATAACACACTTCAATTTTTCTCTACTAGCAAAATCATGGGCCCACATCTCCCAAAGGAAAAAAGTACAATTAATATAAGCAATGATTGCTATTGATTCAGTGGTTTCTTTCTTTGCCTTGGTCTAAAAACATGGTATTTCATGTTCATGTCCTAACTTGCACAAAAGGGTATGGGATGACCAACTTCACTCATGTTTGGAGAATTGCAATGTTGGTCTTGAAGACGTAGGAAACGAAACATTAGTGCTCCTGCCACAGCTCCTAAATTTGGGGCTAGAATGTATATCCAAATGTCCTTAAATTTCCATGACATAATTGCTGGACCTAGTGATCTTGCTGGATTCATTGATCCACCTGAAACAGGTCTGCAACAAAAATTAATTACTTTGTTATTAGATTATAAGTGTCATGTATAATATTAAGTTATATAATTAATCAACGCGATGGACATGAAAATTTATTGAATAATTGATACGTCTATTGAATAACTGATGTATCTGATTTGAGCAAATATGCAAGTAGATACCCAGTGATTAGTACAGCAAGCCCAATTGCAATTCCAGCAACAAAACCAGATAAATGTCCCACCTGCACAATATTTATATGTTTTAGCTAGTAGAAAAGTGGAATTAATGTTCATTATTAAGGAACATAGATATGTCATTATTGTTCCTTAATTAGTACTTACTGATACAGATTGAGGTTCTGATGTCAAAGCAGTAACCAAAAACATGATGATGAAGCTTGCAATAAGCTCCACCCAGAACGCAGAGTTGCAACCTTGGAGCGGTTGAGTCATCATAATATCTGATTTTATGCCATACACAAGACTACCAATATATGTTGCCATCAAAGAACCTATCGTTTGTGCTATTATGTATATAGGAACCTGTTCAATAAACAATAAGTTGGTATATGTGTACGATATAAGCACGAACATAGACAAACACTGACATGATATATGACACTGACACTGACACGTCAATACTGATAATAATTTTAAAAAAATGAATGAATTGAAAATAATCACAAGCGTTGGTGTCTGATACTGACACGGACGCAGACAAGCAGAGTTGCTTTATCTTAACTACCTTGAACCAGGGAAATCGACCAATTGTTGCAAAGGCTATTGTGATAGCTGGATTAACATGTGCACAAGAAATTTGGCCAATAGAGAAAATTATCACAACCACTGTTAATCCTGCTGCAGCTGCATACTCTAGAAGACCCGCTGCATTGTTTTGGCCTTGTGTGTTTGCAATGATTCCACATACACAAAACATCAATATAAACGAACCTAACACCTCTGCCATTACCTAGATTCATAAGAAAATTTAATAAAAAAAAGTGATTTTGTGTTATATGATCAAAAACAAATCACTCTGTATAAACTTGGAAGTGTCAAATATACTATTACCATGCGAGCGAAATTTTGGTCAATTTTGTTGGATAAGAAATGGAGAAGATAAGAGTTTTTGGCCAAAAGATATGGATGGTTTGATGTAATTGAAGCTCTATAACCAATCTCTTTATCATCCCCAGATAAGCCACTACTTGATGCATAATTCGAAGCTTCAGGTGATGATGACGATTGTTTTTCAAATATGTCTCTCATGATCAAAAATATTTCATTAACTTTCGTCTTTAATGAGATCTCATATTTATATAAAGAAAAAGTTTGTGTTATCATCGATTACATGGAACTGTCATGATGCAACAATCCATGCGGTAAGTTTTACTATGTTTGAAACTTTTTGTTGCTCACACGTATTTGGCTTGGGAAGGTGATTTAAGAATGACTTCAACACACGATTCATGTGTTGTTTGAAGTGAGATAGGGTCATAGGGAAGATCGATTTGTGTTTGTTAACTGCTCCAATTAGAAAGTTAACTAATACTTTCCAACAAATGTTAAATTGCTCTTACTTTCTACTTATTCATGACATTGTAGAACCAAACTAAAATCATGATCTCAACCACTTCCTTGCTAATAATATCGTTACAGTGTTATGTATGATTGTTCAACCTTATATTCTCCCACCTTTCAATTTTTCAATTTTCTTGAGTTTGCGACCCTTACAAACTTACAACCTTATAGTTAGTTGATCCAGTAGTGATTGACGCCAAATTTAATAGGAAGGACCACGGTAAGAATCATTGTTGATCAGAAGGTTAAACTCTTAATTTCTGTCGACAATTTTGTCACTTATTCTATTCAAGGGATAAAAGGGAGGAATTGAAACACAATAGAAAAAGCCATCACATGTTAACAAATTGCATATTTAAAGAGTATATGACTATTATATTTTGTCTTAGTTTATTTTTATAAAATTAGTTTGTAAGGTGAGAGATGTCATTTTATATAAATTTTTTTATTATTTTATCTCTAATCAACGTGGAACTTATATCGTCTCAAAAATGATGATAAAAAACAAATTGAAAGATGATTGAAATGGAATTAAAAGCTCACCATAGTCACGAAAAATTTAAAAGTTTTAAATGATTTATTTTTTCACTCTCAATTATGTTTCCCTTTTTTTTCAACTTATTTGTGGGTAAGTTTAATTATATTTTCGGTATTTTGTTTTAGTTGGTGGATGTATTTTGTTTGTTGAGCATGTTTTATTTATTGGATAATTGGTACAAATTGTGTACTTTTGTGTTTAATGATGACACAAATGAATCATACAGACAGACATTTGATAACAACAAGCATGTAGAGCCAAGAAAAATTAACACCAGTAATGATTTGAGAAAATAAAATAATATGTTACAGACCACCGACACGTTTCTGTTATAATATAGCAAGTGTGAGTTGGAGTCTTACGTTGGTTATAATTGTGGAGAGTTGAACATTTATAAGTGGGAGGATCCGTCGCCTATGTAAATACAAGAACACGCCTGCTTCTACATATTAATATAAATTTTGAGTGTGCAGCAGAACCTGGTTTTCAGATGACCTTACAAATCTATGAAGCCAAAAATGTGAATGATTATAGCATTTGTATTGTACTATTCTGCTTCAGGTAATAATATTTTCCATCATAGCCTCTAGGTGAAGTATGCCAAAAAAGTTATACTATTGTTTTCACCCTTTGTGCAAAATGGAAGGACAATGATTGAGTGATACTCGAGTGATTTCCACTGTCTACTGTCTTAGATTTTCTGTCACCTGTAACTGCAATATCTGCAAATGATGATTTTAACACTCCAAAATGTCCCTAAATTGAAATCGGATTTACTGCAGTCAATAATTTGACGCATTCAAATCAAAGTCTCTCAAGTTTTAGTTTTAGAAGACACTCTGGAGATTAGTCGTGACTAGGATTGTTCATGGTACGGTTTAGTGAGAAAACTGAACTGAACCGAATTAAATCATGGTAAAAATTCACTCAAACTGAACTAAGCCGTTTCAATTTATTTAGAACTGAACTGAACCAAAATTATTGGTTATACTGTTTAGGAATTCCGAACCTTATTGAAGACTTTTTTTCTCGAGCCAAACTATTAAACTATTTTTCAAATTTAAAACTTGTTTTTAGTATTTTCATTTTTAGTTTCAGTTTGGTTCGATTCAGTTCATAGTTTTTTTAACCGCCTTAGTCATGACAAACATTTATGAGGCCTATTTAGTCCAGATTTAACCGTGACAAATTTTTTTACCTTGCACAACCTCACGGTTGGTATATCAAGATGAAAATGTTCAAATTTTAATGAAGATTTTGATTTCTTCTTAAATAAAAATACTAAACTTGAAATCTGAACTGTCAAGTCTTGATTTATAACCACAAATTATCTCATCAATTGATTAGTACTACTAAACTAAAATATAATACTATTAGAGTGCATACAACTGTGCAAGGTAACTCTCTCAATCAGAATTAGTCGCTAATGATTGGAAAAGTAACAATGTAAGTCTATGTCACACCCAACAATACATTATTGTGGGATTAATCTTATGATAAGCTTATTATTACATCAGTCACAGCAACTTAAAAGAACAAATTTTACTATATTTATTTTACTATCTTTGTTCTCACATCTTTCTTTTTCTGCTTCTGTAGTTTTACTTGTTTCATACTGCTAAACAGCATAACATTGACATTTTCGGATGGAATTCATATTCTTTGTCTAACATGTGTTGCTGTTCGATAATGACATACGTGATTACATTCAATAAATATATTTTTCATATTCTTACCAGAATTTTCATGCCAGTGTTAGGATCAAATTGAAAATCCGTCTCTATGTTAATGCTTCTTATGTTTCATATAGAGGTTGAACTAGAAAGGTTAATTTAAAGCACCAATGAAGAACAATACTCAGACCGACTCGTGTTTATTTACAATACTCACACTGACTACTCGTGTTTAGAAGACACATAAACACGAGTGATAATTTATAAAAACAAAACTAATAAAATTTAACCAATTGTGTAGGTGTGATACACTGACACATGTTGGACACCGAACATGTCAATTGAGCAAAAGTCTCAGTGCTATAAATAATTTCTCACCTGTAGAAGTAGTTTTGTATGGACAGAAGAGATGTTGTGATTCTGAATTGCAGATTATAAAGATATTTTGACAACAGAACACAAGTAAAAAGTCCACAAGATAGAACAAACCTTTTACTTGTTCAAGTTAAAAAAAAAAAAAAAAAACTAAAATTTTGAAACAAAATCACCTGGAATCTTGTCCAATTACCAATTAGTCCTACATAGCAAATTTTGCAGTCCTTTTCTGGTCTTCAATTTCCTTGGTACTTGTTCTAGAGGAAGATAATGGCTATAATGTCTTTTTAATCGTTGTTGAGGGGAATGAAGCCTGGTCCGAAATCACTAATAAATATTATGTTAGATATACTTATGAATGATTTCGAACCAGACAACGTTCCCCTCAACTTTTTATGCATATATGGCAGACAAGAGAAGAGTTGAAATGGAAAAAATTCAAAAGGAGAACAAGAAAGAAAGTGTTTGTGTGTGAGAGAGAGAGAAAAAGAGACTAGTGGCTAGAGCTTTTATATAGCCATGCATTATTTTTTTCATGGGGTCCTTATTATATACGTAAAAAATTTAGAGTAGATTTTTTCTTTGGTCATATGATTTAAAGTCCACTTTATACACTACTCTTATCTTGCTTTTCACATGCAGGATTTTTTCATTCAAAAAAGTAAGATGTTAACATCAAGAATTATTAAAATATGACGGTCGGTGTTGTTGAAGTGCGACTGGGCCGAACGGAAACTCTAATAGGAGTATTTACAAACACTGAAACGCTCAAGTCAATAAAAAGAGAGTTTTGAAATTGTACACATGTTTATATTCTTTTGAAGATTTTGACCTAGGGTGTATTGTCAGCTCTTAAGCAAAGAATTTCCATTTTGCTTGCCACTAGGGTAAAGAAAAGATAGTGATGGGCTTGATGGGGATCCTTCATTGATGATATAGTATAGAAGATTAATTATGCCAAACTTGACTAAGAGGCATAAAAAAATTCAAGTTTTAAATAATGTTGACTGAGATGATTATTTATCATCATCTAACAAAATTCTCCCATCGAGAGTAGAATTAAAAATCAGATTCAAGTGAAATATGAATTGGGTCCTTATTGTTATTGTTGGATCATGAGAGAGTCTGATAATCATTGTATTGGGTTTTTAGGAATTCAATTATTGAATTGGATACTACATGTTAGCTAAAATTTCTCACTTAAAGATTAATATGTGAAATTGTTATTGACACTTGATGCACCAACAATTTATTCTAGTGAGTCAATTCATTCATATCGAGTATGCTCCTCCTTTCTTTTTTCATCCACATATACTTATATACTTGTATTGTTGTTAATTGTTTGCTTCATCAATAAGACATGTTGTTTGAACACATTGGTCAAGAAGATTTTCGATATTAAGAGTTGGTCAAATTTGGTTTTGATACCACTGTTCAATTATGAGGGAAAGTTGAACACCATATCTTAATTCAAAACTTTAAGGTTTTGTTTGCGAGTTTGGAGGAAAAAAGAGACGAGAGCTTTGAAAAATTGGAAGGATCAAGTGAAAAGCATGAAAGGACTTAGGTGGAGAGAGTTTGGGATTTAGAATTATTCAAAAACCAAAAATCTCTAATTTTGGAGAACTAAAAAATTATATTGAGGGAGGGGTCTGAAGGATTTTGAATGGCTCAGACAAAATTTTCAAATATAATTTATATTATTATATTATTTTAAAAATTAAAAATATGTTAATGATAAATATTATTTATCATTCTAAACAAAATCTATAAAAAAATGTTAAATTCCTTATATTTTTTTAAAAAAATTATTTTTCGAATCTCTCTTCTCTTCTCCTCCAAACACTCAAGCAAAGACTAAGATTTTTTTTGGGAGTTGTTCTGGACTGGACTGGCACACGACCCACAATTGGGCAAGGTCTAATCTAGTTTAACTTTAGGCAAGACCCAATAAGAAGACAATATGACTGTTGGACACAATATGATTGTTGGGCACAATATGACCGTTGGGCACAACATAGCCGTTGGACACAATATAACCGTTGGGTACATTATAGCCGTTGGAGAATATAGTCGTTGGGGACATCCCCCTCACGCGCTTG